CGGGGTGTGAGTGTGTGTGAGTGTGTGGGAATCAGAGTGTGTGGGGGTGTGTGTGAGTGTGTGGGGTGTGTGTGGGTGTGTGTGTGTGTGGGGGTGTGAGTGTATGGGGGTGTGTGTGCATGGGGGTGTGAGTGTCTGGGGATCAGAGTGTGTGGGGGTGTAAGTGTGTGAGGGTGTGAGTGTGTGGGGGTGTGAGTGTATGGGGATCAAAGTGTGTGGGGATGTGAGTTTGTGGGGGTGTGAGTGTGTGGTGGTGTGAGTGTGTGGTGGTGTGAGTGTATGGGGATCAGAGTGTGTGGGGTTGTGTGTGTGGGGGTGTGAGTGTGTGGGGATGTGTGTGTGTGGGGATCAGAGTGTGTGGGTGTGTGTGTGTACACCCACCTCCTCCATTATTGGCCCTGGGATTCTCCTACAACATTTTACTTCTCTTAGATATGGGTTTGGGAGAGAGGAGGGGGAAAATGAAGGATTTATTCACAATGCTTCAACTATCATGGCATTGCCCCGATGGGAGACTAGTCTCCTCCTGCCCACCATCTCTGTGTGTGTTTGAGGCTGTCTGCGTTGCACACACTGGTAGCTCAGATATAGGGATGATGGCCGGCTTTAAGAGTTGGAAATGTTTCATTCCTGGGCACCAGTGTTCCTCGCTTCAGACAGTGGCAGGGGCGAAGACGAGCTCAAACTGTGGGGGGATTTCACTCAGCTGTTTGGGCAGCTTTATACAAACAACAGCAATCATCCTTCAGAATGAACAATTCTAGATTATTTACATCAGAGGAACAGACCTAACCTGCCTGTGCTGGTGTTAATGTGGCACACAAACCTCCTCTGTCTCTGTGAAGCCCCATCAGCTTTTCCTTCTATTCCTTTCCCTGGGGTGGGTTAGCTCAGTTGGCTGGATGGTTGCTCTACACTACAAAACAATTACCAGCACCCTAGGTTCAATTCTCACACCCACTGAAGTTACCACAAAGGGCTTGCCCCCACCCCCACCTGAGGCATGGTGCCCCTCGCTTTAAAACAGCACCAGCTGTCTGTCTCTTTAACAACAGAGCAGCCTGATAGTCCAGTAGTTTTATGGTGACTGTATTATTACTTTTATTCCATTCTCCCTCCTGGGGTATGCGGTAGCTCAGTGGTTAGCACTGCTGCCTCACAGCACCAGCATCTGGGTTCCTTTCGACCCTCAGGCAACTGTCTGAGTAGAGTTCTCCCCATGTCTGCGTGGGTTTCCTCCGGGTGCTCTAGTTTCCTCCCACAGTCCAAAGATGTGCAGGATAGGGTGGATTGGCCACTCTAAGTTGCCCCCATAGTGTTCAGGAATGTGCAGGGTAGGTGGGTTAGCCGTGGGAAATGTAAGGGGATGAGTCTGGGTGGGATGGTCTATGGAGGGCCAGCATGGAGCCAATGGGGCTGAATGGCCTACTTCCACACTGTAAGAATTCTATGTTTGTCCAGTTTTCCGTTTAAAAGTGGTAATGAGTCAGATTTTCAATTTCTGAATGATAGCAGTGAGATCAAGTCTATTGATAGCCAGGACAGTGATAACTAGAGCAGAGGTATCTCAGGGTGCTAGTTGTCTGTCGGGGCTGGTGGTGGGTGGGGGGCAGGGTGTGGGAGGTATGTGGGAGTGTTACAGCTTGAGGTATTTTGCCCCTCCCCTCTCCCCAACAGGCAGACAGGTCACTTTGTGTGACCCAGTCTAATTCTGATGGTTGGCATCTGTTGCAGCTGAAGACTAGTTCATTAATCCCAGCTCTTTCTGCAGGATGTCATCGAGACTCTCCAAGCTGAAGAGAGGAAAGCGAAGGATGAGGTGGGTCCTAATCGTGATTGCTTTGCAGAGGAATGTTAGATCTGAGTGGGACCAAGGAGAGAAATCATGCTGCTTTCCTGACTCCTTAACTCCACTACCCCCCTGAAATTTAACCCACCGTCCTTCGGAACAGGGATCAAAAAATTTGTACAATCCCTTGGGGCTTAGATTTTCAAGGTGGGGAGGAGGCCACTTTTGATTCTTCAGGGCTACCTTTTCATTTTCTCCAACCAGCTTATTCAGTGAGACAGTTACATAATAACCACGCCTGCATTTAGTTGTTATTGGAACTCAGAACAAGAAGAATTCCTCAATAATTAGCAGCCTTCCATTAAACACACGATTAAGGCATTTTTTATAGAATCCCTACAGCATGGAAGCAGGCCATTCGGCCCATCCATACTGACCCTCCATAGAGCATCCCACCCAGAACCCACCCCCACCTCTGTAACTTATTTCTTGGCATTTAAATTGGTACAGAAGGGCTGTCTTGAGGCACATTGGTAGTGTCCCTACCATTGAACTGGGAGGACCCAGTTTCAAGTCCCGCCTGCTCCAGAAGTGTGTAATAAACAGGTTGATCGGAAAAATAGGTTAAATTGGTACAGACAGCAGGCATAAGTTAGTAACAAAAGTTTTGTTTACAAGAAATCCATTACCCCCGTGATGCCCAGTTTTCCTAGCTCGTATTTACCACCTCTGTTGACAGGTATATAAACTTTTCACAGTCTTTTTCAACTTCTCTCTCCTCATACCTCCACCTTTTAGCCTCCCTCCCACTTTGTTGAGGTTGGTTGGCTCGCCGAGCTGGTTCATTGTTGTTCCACAGACGTTTCATTACGCTGCTGGGTAACATCATCAGTGCGGCCTCTGATGAAGCACCGTTGTGTTTTCCCGCCTGTTATTTAAACTCTGGTGTCCGTTGAACTAGATTACCTCACTTCCGGTTTTCCTTCGCAGTGGAGTGTATATGGGGTCTAACTCTATGTGTTTGTTGATGGCTTTCTCTACTCTAAAATCCCTCCCACTTACCCTGCCCTTCCCAGCCTGCATAGCCAGTCTCCAGTCCTGCAATCTCTGAGGGGTGGTGATGGCCTGGACTATTAATCCAGAGATCCAAATAATGTTCTGGGTTCAAATCCTACCAGATGGCAGAATGGGAATTCAACTTTTTTTTTAGAAAAGAAATCTGGGATTAAGAATCTAAAGGACGACCATGAAAGTGTAGGTTGATGATCAGGGCAAAGTAAAAAAAACCCCACCTGGCTGACTAATGCCCCTTTTCAAGAAGGAAATGTGCCAGCCTTACCTGGTCAGGGATACACGTGCCTCCAGACCCAATGCGATGTGCTTAATCTTAACTGCCCTCTGGGCAGTAAATACTGGGCCTGGCCAGCGGGTTCCACATCCCATGATTGAATTTTAAACAAAAAAGACTCCTGCCAGTGGAATACCTCCACAGAGGCTGGTATCCCGTTACCAAGTCTCCCTTTATTTATATGAGGAAAGGCCTTGACACTGACCCAGCTCCCTCAAGAGCCAGTTCTCAGAGTGAACAGAACCCCTGACCCTCCTGTTTATGTCTGCCAGCCAGGGCTCCCTGATTGGACCAGGTTAACAGCCCCAATTGGGGAACTCCTGTTCAATGAGGTCCACGCAGCCATCACTACACCTAGTTCCAGTCTCCCTTCTCCTGCAGCCTCCCCTCCTCCTTTTTCAGCCTCTCTCTCTCTCTTCCTTCTGCAGGGTCACACAGGACACCTTGAAACCAGATTCCTGGGTTGGCAGAACGAGGCAGCAGCCCTGCCCATGAGACGTCCCAGAAGTGAAGGGGGTCACAGGGGGCGTTCTTTCACTGTGGAGAGGCTCCAGTAACCTTGATCCTCCGAATGGAACCTCCCGTTAGGCAGGAGCTGATTGTTTGGGGCAAGGTACCTCCTTAATCAGTCAGCACTAGCCATATTGGAGATGGGGTAGATGACCATGAGGCTGCTTTGCCAGGAGATGGCATTAAAAACATACTAAATGGAAGTTGCAAGCAGAGCAGTGCCTGCTCCTAATTGGGCCTTGAATCCAATCAATAATTCCTCACACGCACAGTGAGAAATTCAATAGCCCACCCGTTGGCCTGTAGGATCTCGTAGTAGTTGGCTGGAGACTGTGATTGGTAAAGGTAGGCCTGCCAGGCCCAAAGGATTAACCTGGAGTCTCCAGGGGCCTGCTGCAGGCTTAAAACCCAAGAGAAAATCATAGGGTTCCTTCTTTTCAAAAAAAAAGTTCACTTTTCGCTTTCCTTTTGCTTACAAAACACAGTTGGTGCAGGCCAAGCAAAAGCTGTTTTCAGTAATTAACCCACCAGGAAAAGCCTTGCCGATTGACCTAGGAGCAGTGGTCGTCATGACGATGTGTGAGTTGACTACACAGAGACGGAAATGTGTGTGAGGCACAATGCACCCTGAGACAGGACGTCATTGACGACAAACTGCAGGAATATTTCCGAATAGAGTTGGCCACCTGCTGGCTGAGGCCTTGAGGCACATGGTGGTGGGAGGGCTGCCATCTTGTGATGGAATCCGCCACTTGTCCCTGACTTGATCAAATCTTCTCCTGTTCCAGACAATGAAGATCAAGGAGGATCCTGAAGTAAAGGTAAAAGCTATTCCAGCTTGATGTGGTGGCAGATGTTATAGACGTTGCAGCTTTTGCTTACTGATCGCTTTCTTCATATGTGAGTGGGTGGTCTGCTAAAGGTGACGGAAACTCAAGTCCAAAGGCAGTTTGTGGGGTGCAATCAGTTAGCTCCCAGTGAGGTGGGGGATTGCAAGTTCACAGCAGTGCAGCTACAGAAGGTGTTCAGCCTGAGTGTCTTCAGTGTGTTCAACTATCTACACGCACACACACACACGGACACACACAGACACACACACGGACACACAGGCCCACACACACACACACACACACACGGACACATGGGCATACACACACACACATGGACACACAGGCACACACACACGGACACACACACACACACACAGGCACACATGGACACATGGACACACAGGCACACACACACACACGGACACACAGGCATACACACACACACGGACACACAGACACAGGCACACACACAGGCACACACGTACACACACACAGGCACACACATGCACACACACACACAAACACACACATGCGCACACACACACAGGCATACACACACACACACGGACATGGACACACAGATACCGACACACACACACACACACACATAGACACTGACACACACAGACACGCACACACAGACGCACAGACACAAACACAAACGCATATACACAAACAGATATATGCACATATACATACACAGAGACACAGACACCTACACACACACACGCACGCACGAACAGATATATACACATAAAAACATGCAGACACTGCTACACGCGTGCACGCACACACACATACACACAAACTGACACATACACACTGACACACACACACAGACACTGATACACACACACATACACACTGATTTCTCACACTCACACACCTCACTCACTCACACCGATTCACGCACACACATTTATATACACATATATTCACATGCATACACACACAAACCAGTCCAAAAGAGACAGAGTGGGCTGATTCCTGGAATGAAAGTGTTGACTTACCAAGGTTAACACTTGATAAAGTTTAGGTCTTTATTCAGGGGAGCTTAGAAGAATGATGGGTAAAACTGTTGAAACATTCAGGGGCTCCCTGATTTATGAACTTTGGATTTAAGAACACATGTGTTTATGAATGCGATCTAATATGGGGGGTGGGGGGGCCGGTGGGGGTTGGTCATTTTAAAGAGCCAACATCTGAGAGTTTCCTGAACTGATGAACGGCTGCTTTATTATTGTCCTCTATTGTGTTCTGACTTGCATACAAATTAACCTGTGTTGTGTGTGTGTGTATGTTGTGTGTGTGTATGTGTGTGTGTGTTGTGTGTGTGTGTTGTGTGTGAGTGTGTGTTGTGTGTGTCCATGTGTGTGTGTGTGTATGTGTGTGTGTTGTGTGTGTGTGTGTTTGTGTGTGTGCGCACGTGTGTTGTGTGTGTGTCTGTGTGTGTGTGTGTTGTGTGTGAGTGTGTGTTGTGTGTGTGTTGTGTGTGTGTGTGTGTGTGTGTGTGTGGTGTGTTGTGTGTGTGTGTGTTGTGTGTGTGTTGTGTGTGTGTGTGTGTTGTGTGTGTGTGGTGTGTTGGGCGGGTGGGGAGTGGTGGTGTTGGTGGAGCAGAATCCTGCACTGGGCGGTAGAATTACAGAATAAGGCGACAGTCGGTTCAAATTCTACTGCATAGGAATTCCTTCCCTCAGAGAGGGTAGTGAATTTTTGGAATTATGTCCCTCAGAGATTTGTGGTGGGTAGATCATTGAAAGTATTTAACAAGGAGGTCAATAGGTGAGGGCTGTAAGGAACTAGCACAAAGGAGAAGTTGAAGCCTGGGGTAGATCAGCCGTAGTCTTGTTGAATGATAGCACAAGCTTGAGGTGTGAATGGCCTACTGTTGCTGCTAGTCCTCTGCGAGTCGATACATTTTGCCTTGAGCTTGCTGACCTCCCAGTGGTTACAGAAATAGGAGACCATTTCCTGCTCACTGGAGGTGAGGAATCTTCACAGAGTGCTATTACCAGTCTCAGGATGTGGGCATCCCTGGTTGCATCAGCATTTACTTCCTATCTCGAACTTGAGCAATTGGTTTGTAAACGGAAAATGTCATCACATATATTTCTTGCGGCACCTGGGAACAGCGGGATTTTAACCCTGTGCTGAGTTTTCCAACGGAAAAGCAGAAATTGCTGTAGAAACTCAACAGGTCTGGCAGAGTGTTTGGGGTGAAATCACAGTTAATATTTCGTGTCCAATGATGCTTCCTCAGAACTAGCTGGGCACCAGACTCAAAGCATTATCTCTCCTCTTCTCTCCACAGATGCTGCCAGACCTGTTGAATTTCTCCAGCAATTTCTGTTCTGTTTTGTTTCACATCTCCAGTGTGGATAGTTCTTTGTTTGATATTGGCAGAGTTCCCAAAGCTGAGCCCACACTGATGAAAACCAGAAAGTGTGCCGGAGAAACTCAGCACGTTTGGCAGCACCTATAGAGAGAGAGAGAGAAAATGAAGTGAACATTTTGAGCCTGGTCTGACCCTTCTCTGAATGGATGGGTTTCTCTGAGCACTGTCTATTTATATTTGCGATCACCAGCATCTGCTGCAGCTTGCTTTCCATTTTCTGCACAGACACAGCCTGGTTTCCCAGACAATTGAAGCGAAATTAGAGACAAGGGAGAGAGTCACCAGTTGGAGAACTTTTCATCCTTGCCCCCTCGTCTCCCGTTGGCATTTGCTGTGTTTGGCAACTGGTTTCGCTGACCTCAATCAGCACACAGAGATTAAATCAATGAATAGTTAACATGGTGGGACATCGATAGCACAAATAAAGTAAATGAAATCCCCTGCACACGGCCAGAGTTTCCAGTCCCAATCTTGACCGTTAGGTCACTCAGCTTTCTCTGGGCCACAGGCTCTTATCTGGGCACCTGGAGGGCAAAACTTGCAGGGAGATTGGTGAGGTGATGGGATGTCACGGTGAGGTTGTGCAAGACATTGCTGAGGCCTCTTCTGGAGTACTGTGTCCAATTCCGGTCACGATGTTATCGGAAGGATATTATGAATCTGGAGAGGGTTCTGAAGAGATTTACCAGGACGTTGCCAGGAACGGAGGGTTTGAGTTATAAGTTGAGGCTGGATAGGCTGGGAATTTTTTTACTGGAGCATAGGAGGTTGAGAGGTGACCTTACAGAGGTTTATAAAATCATGAGAGACATAGATCAGGTGAATGGCAGGTGTCTTTTCCTTAGGGAGGGGGATTTCAAGACCACGTTTTTAGGTGAGAAGAGAAAGATTTAAAAAAAGATACGGGGAGCAATCTGTTTACACAGGGCGTGGTTTGTGTGTGGAATGAACTTCCTGAGGAAGTGGTGGATGTGGGTACAATTTCAACATTTAAAAGACATTTGGATAAGTACGCGAACAGTAAAGTTTTGGAGGGGTATGGGCCAAGCGCAGGCAGGTGGGACTAGTTTAGTTTGGGAACATGGTCAGCATGGACTGGCTGGGCCGAAGGGCCTGTTTCTGCGCTGTATGACTCTATGACTAGTAATCCAGAGGCTGAAACTATTGCTGTGGTCATACAGGTTCAAATCTCATCACGACAACTGGTGATCTATTCAACCGAGTTAATAAAATTGAAGACTAGGCAGCTGCTACATTAACCGTAGGTAAGAGTTGTTTTGAGAAGGAAAGCCCCATCCGAGGGCGGTTTGTCTGTCCTCCTGCCTGGCCTGTGTGACTCCAACTCCACGAGCAGAAGTAGGCCATTCAGCCCATCGTGCCTGCTCTGCTGTTCAAAGCGATCACGGCTGACCTGATAAGCCTCAACTCCACTTTCCTGCCTTTTCCCCAGAGCCCTTGCTGATTAAAAATCTCTCTCTCTCCCCCTCAGCCTGGGTTGCCTAGCGAGCCACTCGGTCAAAGGACAACAAAATGCTGGTCATGCCTATGTTCTGACAAGGAATAAATAAATAATATTACTCGACCAATCCCACACCTGATGGCAGTATGGGCTTAGGTTCCACAGCCAATTCCTTTTTACTGGCATCCCTTCATGAGATGTGGTGGGGGGCGAGGTGGATCAATGGCTGGGCCAGCATTTATTGCCCACCCAGAACTGCCCCTGCACTGAGTGGGTTGTTTGGCCATTTCAGAGGGAAGTTATGAATCAACTGCATTGGGTCTGGAGTCACGTGGTAGGCCAGACCGGGCAAGGATGGCAGATTTCCCGCACTTGAAGGGCATTAGTGAACCAGAAGGTGTTCTCATGACAATCGATGGTAGCTTTGACCGAGGTCAGGTCTGTAATTAGGGATTTATTCATTGAATTTAAATTCCACGAGCTGCCAGAGTGGGAATGCCCCCATGGGCCACTGATCCCCTGGACAGCAAAAGGGTGAAACAAATTAGAAACATCGGGGTGGGGGCGTGGGAGGGGGCGCGACAGGAGAATGGGACTTTTTAAGAAGTGACTTTTCCTTTCTCCTCCTCTTTCCCTCATCCTTACCCCCAGAAACTAGTGTCACAGTTGACACAGGCGAACCTGAAACTGTTTGATCAGACCAATGCCAAGCAGATACCATGGGTGGAGAAACAGTTTGCATGCAGGCTGTGCGATCATTACTGGTGGAGGAGAGTACCTGATAGGAAACAGGTAAGGGACTGCCCGGTTTCCTGCTTCCTGTCTCCGCGGGGGCATGTGTGAGGGATCTGGAGATAGGCTGTATCCCGACTGGGCTCTAAGGACACAAGGCCCATGGGCAGACTCTGGTGGTCTCAGGTTTGACCTTTGACCCCAGCCAGCAATAGCGATCAAGTCACTCTGATTTGAAGGAGTTGGGAAAGTTGAAATGATCTGGCTTTCCTGATGAACCTCCAGCGAGCCGATTACTGCCCAGCTCTCTGCGAGTTGTTTGCACTGTATCGGTCAGTGACCCCAAACCTCAGGACCAGGAGCTCTGGGTTCAAGTCCCACCTCAGGACATGGGTGCCCACAGAAGATGCATCATTCTACAGGCAAGCATATCGATGGGTGATCTGTAAATCTGTAAATCACACAGACACACACACACAGACACACACACACACAGACACACAGACACACGCACACACACACAGACACGCACACACACAGAGACACACACACAGACACACACACACACAGACACACACACACAGACACACATACACACACACACAGACACACACACACACAGACACACACAGACACACACACAGACACACGCGCACACACAGACACAGACACACACACATACAGACACACAAACACAGACACACACACATACAGATACAGACACACACATATACAGACACACAGACACACACACATACAGACACACACACACGCAGACACATACACACAGACACACACGCACGCAGACACACAAACACGCACAGAGACACATGCGTATATTAAGACACGTACACATATAGACACACATAGAAATGCAGACGCACACACACGGACACACACAACACACACCACACACACATTAGATGCACACACAGATACACACACTCACACATAGACACTTAGAGACACGCACAGAGAGACACACAAGCACACAGAGACATACACAGACAGACAGACACACACATAGACACATGCACACATACACACATAGATACACACACACATAGATATACACACACACACACACACACACACACACATCATTCTGATACACAGACAGAGACACACTCATCACTCAGACACACAGACACAGATACGCATGTCCAGGTCTCCATGTGGGGCCATCAGTCTGGACTGTGATAAACCCCCCAGCCCCCAGTCAGTGCAATTGAACGCAGAGTGTTCAAAGGGGGAAGGGGGAAATGTGATGATGGATGGGGAGGGCGGATTGGGAGGTTTTGTGAACATTCAGTTAAACAGTGAACAGTGTTGCTCAGACCCAGTTCTTGAAGGCCATCTCCTCTTGGCAGTGAACTCTGATGTTGGGTGAAGTTAGTGAAAGCGACTGGAGGAACTGGGCAGTAACTCATGGGGCAGGGCAGTAATGTGGGGTCAGGGAGTGGTGGGAGAGAGAATGGGGGAAGGAGCCACAGTAAAGGGCAGGGATCAGTGTGGCTGGATTTTCATGTATGTGGCACTAAACGAAAGGTGCAGAGAAATTAATCCACACAAAGAATTGTGAACCTTTGGAATTCTGTAGCCTAGAGGGTATTCCCTCATTGAATAGAGGAATGGCTGGATCAGACAGATCCTTAGTCTCTGACGAAATGAAGGCTTATGGAGTGTGGCGTAGGGTGAGGGGCAGGTAGGGTAGGATTGGTGAGTTGAGTTGCAACCCAAGACCGGCCATTATCTTATTGGACGGCAAAGCAGCCTTGATGGGAAGAATGGACAACTCCTGCACCTATTTCTCGGAATATCCATCCTTGGGACATCACTGGGGCAGAGTGAGAAATGGGGAGGGAGCTTCGAGTCTGGAGATTCCCTGATAGCGGGATGGATACAGCCATTGTGACCCTCTGACATGGGAATCTCTTTGTCTGCCTGCAGGTCTCGAGGTGTCGGAAGTGTAAGGTGAAGTACAGTCCAGTGCCGCATGACAAAATGTGGGGCTATGCTGAATTTCACTGCCAACGCTGCGGCAACACCTTTGGGTAAGGAGGGTGCTGGGGGGTATCAGCCATCAGCCCTGCAATCTGTTAGGAAAGGTGACTTAGTTAGAGACATCCTTTGCACCATCACTGAAAGGTACAGAGCCCCTTCATTGATAACGCATGGAGATGGTGGCACTACGGTAGTATTGCTGGACTAGTACTTCAATCCAATAGATTCGAGACACAGGTTCGAATCTCACGAGGGTAGCTGGTGGAATTCAATTTCAATTCACAAAATCTGCAAATGTCAGTGAAACTATTGTTGGAAAAATCCCATCTTGTTCACCAAGGTGAATGGGAAAGAAATCTGCCATCCTTACCTGGTCTGACCTACAGTGGTGTGACTGTACCTTAACTATCTTGTGCAGTGGCCCAGTGAGGCCCTCAGTTCAGGGACAGTTTGGGATGGGTGACAAATATGGGCCTTGCCAGTGACACTCACATCCCGCGAGAGAACCTCACCACCCTGGACAAAGCATCCTGCTTGATTTGTATCCAATCTAATTCTTTCTCTTCGCCACCGACACTCAGTAGAAACAGTATGTGCCATCCATGAGATGCATTGCAATGAGACACCAAAGATCCTTAGACAGCACCTTTCATGCTGAGACCACTTCCATCTAGAAGGACAAGGACAGCAGATACATGGGAACACCACCCCCTGCAAGTTCCCCTCCAAGCCACGCGCTATCCTGACTTGGAAATATATCACTGTTCCTTCAGTGTCGCTGGGTCAAAATTGTGAAACTCCCTCCCTAAAGGCACCCCCTGAAATAACTCCACCAAGTGGTATCCCATCACCAGGTCACTGTTTACTCACACGTGACACTAACCCAGCTCCCTCAGAGCCAGCTCTCAGAGTAAACAGAACCTCAGGCCCTGCTGTTTATGTCTGTCAGCCAGGGCTCCCTGATTGGACCAGATTAACAGCCCCAATTAGGGAACTCATATTCTATGAGGTCCCGCCTGACTGACCTCGTTACACTCACTACATCCCCAAAAGGTTCGGGAAAGCCATTTCCCATCACCTTCTCCAGGGGCAATTAGGGACGGCCGATAAATGCTGACCCAGCCAGTGATGCCCACATCCCGTGAGTGAGTATAGAAAGGTTACACATCACTGACGGGCAGTGAGCGACAGGACCTCTTTCTCTTGACCGCCGTGTACTCTCTCCTTTAGGGGCTTCGGACAGATGGGACTGCCAGTTCCGTGCTACGTTTGCCACAGCTGCGTGACTCCCGTGCGTATCCTTCCACCAAAGAAGGGGGTTGGCCCTCGCACCCAAAGACCCCACAGCTGTTTCGCTGAGGACTGCTACCAGCGCAAAGGTCAGCTCCCACAGCCACCTCCCCCCCACCCAACTCCCCCCAATCCCGCCCTCACAAAGCGGTTACGTCAATCTGTTCTTGTTTTTTGTTGCCCGTTATGCTTGGCGGTGTCCTCTCCTTGTCCTCTCTGCCTGGTGCGTAGTCTTCTGACCAGAGGCCTGTTCTTCCGGGGCTCCCAACCCTGTCTCCATACCTCACGTCAGTGTGGAATTCTCTGCCACAGAAAGCGGCTGAGGCCAAAATGTTTTGAGTGTTTTCAAGCAGGAGGTAGATTTAGTTCTTGGGGCACAGGGGAAACAGAGGGTATGGGGGAGCACGTGGGAACAGGGAACTGAGTTGGATGATTAGTCACAATGCTGTTGAATGGTGGAGCAGGCTCGAAAGGGCCGAATGGCCTGCTCCTGCTCCCGATGTTCCTGTGAGGGAACTTTGAGGTCAGGGTCTATAGGATGTTCACCTGGAATGAGGGTAAGGTAGGCACGCTCTATCCCATTCCCGTTCTCGAACAACAGGGGGTGGGTGCGTTCGCTGAATGCTCTTCAGGATGACAACCCATTCCCTGATTTCCCAGCCGACTTGCTAGAGCCAGTTAGCGGGGAGGCGATGGCCTAGTGGTATTATTGCTGGGCTATTAATTCAGGAAGCTCAGCTAACTGTCTGGGGACTGGAGTTCAAATCCCGCCACGGCAGATGGTGGAATTTTGATATTCAGATAAATATCTGGAATTAAGAGTCTAATGACGACCATGTCAATTATCAGGGGGAAAACCCATCTGGTTCACTAATGTCCTTAGGAAAAAGGAAATCTGCCATCCTTATCTGGTCTGGTCTGGTCTACATGTGACTCCAGACTCACAGCAAGATGGTTGACTCTGGGCGTGTAGGGACGAGCAGTAAATGTTGGCCAGCCTGTTACACCCTCATCCTTGTGAGTGAATGAAAGGAAGTGGTCACACGCTGCCCTTTTTCACAGCCTGTAGTCAAATATCACACGTGGACAGGTCAGTCCTCTTGGCAGGTCTCCATTGATAGGACCCAGCCCCATCAACGGCCGCAGAGGCTGGAATTGGCTAAACCCAGGGCAGCAGTTCTCTACAGGCTGGTCGGTATGTTCCTGCACCCCCAGGTCCTAGGGCAGAGATTCGCCTGGGGAGGAGGTGGGTGATGGGTATCATCGGGCAGGCTGGGAGGTTGATGTTAGGCCTCGAGTATGTATTTCACCAGTCGGGTTTGAGGGGTTCATCTGCAAGGGTCAGAGCTTGGGGGTGAGGTGGGGTGGGGCAAGAGTCATGGAGCTCCACAGCAGAGCAAAAGGCCCTTTGGCCCATCGAGAGCTCACTATTCCGATGCCATTTGCCAGCACTTGGCCTATAGCCTGGAATGGCATGGCGAGGGCAAGTTGGAATACTTTAGAGACTGGGAGGAGGGCTGTGGTTTTTCACCCGGGAGAGTCTGACATTGAGTGGGAGGGAGTCACATGGGAGGCAGAGATCGAAGGAAGGGAGTCACATGGGAGGCAGAGATTGTTGGGAAGGGAGTCACATGGGAGGCAGAGGTTGAAGGAAGGAAGTTATGTGAGAGTGAGGTGGGGGTTGTAGGGGCAGAAGGAGTCACCTATGAGAGATAGAGATGACCACAGCTATTCCGACAATCGGAACCCCAGGAAATAATACCAGGCCCCTCCCCTCCAGTCTTCTCTGTCTGAATTCTATGGACCAACACTATGTCAAGGGTTCGGGCAGCTGTTTGCCACAGTCTCCTGCCTTGCCCAGAAAGCCTGGCACAACTTGCCAGCTCCGTGAGGACTCTGCCTTTCTCTGTGCAAGCCTGACCGCACTGCTCTCCCCTCTCGGCCGACCCTGGTCCACTGGGCGAGGCAGGCCTTTGGGGCCTGGGACTGTTACCCCGCCCCTCCCTCATCCTGACAACACCCGCCATGATGATGGTACATCTCAACTCTGAGGCTACCATGTGGGAGGGAGATGGTAAACCAAAGCTCTGAGGGCCATCATGGGTGAAAGGTCGCAGGGCTCCAAGTGGGGAGAGGGGTGTGGATTGGGATCTCCCTGGTGTCCCAGCCAATAACGATCCCTCGGTCAAGGTGACTAACTGGTCACGATCGACGCAATGATTGTGGGAGCTTGCTGTACTCAAATTGGCCATCATGTTTCCTGTGTTAAAGCTGTGACCATACGCCATGGGGGCGCGGAATGCTTTGGGTGATATTAAAGTCACAAAAGGCGCTATGTAGACGAAAGTGTTCTATGAGGTACTCAAAGAACGACTTGTCTTTTCTGTCCCGCAACCGACCCTGTCCCTCCCACCCCCCAATCCCGCACGTCAGAACCTCACATCCCCGGGATGCACTGTGTTCACCCACGCAGCAGGCAACAGAAGGGGCTCCCAAAAGTGCTGTACCCCAGCCCAGAGCACCACAGCACAGGGTCAACTATCGCCACCTGCCTGAGCCAGGGGAGCCTGATGGAGTGTCACGTGGATGACATCATTGAGGAGGACATCAAGGAGGAGGAGGAAGAGGAGGACACGACCGAGGAAGATGAGGACTCGACAGAACACTCCGTCAATGGAAACAGCGCCAATGGAGACTGAGGTGATCCTTGTCTGCCCCCAGCTCCGTCTCGCACCAGGTCGCAACCACTCATTGTCCCCAAGTGCATGGTCCTAGAGTAATGTCCATTTCGGATGACCCACCACATCGCCCCACACACACACACCTCCGCCATCCTCTGGGTTATGGCGAGCTTTGTGGTTGGCATTTGGATGGATTTCCTACACCTTGGAAGGCATTAATCTCTCCTTTCTCACATCCCTCTTGTTGGACTGTACTCGTCCTGAATGTAAGAAAGCACGTCATTCGAGTTTCTGATCTGCGACAAAGAAAGGCAGGTTCAGTTATGTTTTCTGGCTCAGCGGGAGTTGTCTCGAGCTGATCAACAATGGGCGGCATCGCTGTCCTGAGGTCTTTCTTCTACTCCCCAAATGCATTTGATTTGTCCTTGTGTGTTGGCGTGCGTGTGGCTGCCGTAAAAGCTAAAGTCAAGGTTGTCGTTTTGAATAGCTGACCGACCTTCGATGACTGCTCAAGGCTGCAGCAGGATGAGTGAGGCCTGGTGTGTTTGATGCCCCCTGGCTCTGTATCTGAGTGGGCTTGCTCCTCTGTGTCCTGAATCCTCAAAACATTTACTTTAATTCCCGCTCGGAGACGAGTGAAGGAGCAGCTATTGAACATTGCATTTGTACAGCGCAGAACAAAGCCATTTTTGCCCACTATTGTCTGTGCTGGCTCTCGGAAAAAACTATAGCCAATTTGCTCCTTTCCCCAGAGCCCTTTCTTTTTAAAAGAAAACAAAGAACTGCAGATGCAAGAAACAAAAACAAAAATTAGCTGGAGAAGCTCAGCAGGCCTGGCAGCATCCGTGCAGAGAGAAAAGTAATTAATTTTTGAGTCCAGAACATGTGCTTGACACTGCTGTTTCTGCGATAGACTTACACATTCTCTCAGACTTGCTTCAGAAACCAATTTCTTCTTTGTGCTCTCACTGAGCCCATATACTCTATTGTCTCCTATCTCACACCGTGTCCTCCTCAATCATTGCTCCCACACCTGTATAGGAACCTGCTTCAAACTAATTCACCACACTCTCAAAGTTTTTGTTTTCTGACATGCACACAAAAGTACCTTGGCATGTTTTACCAGCGTTTAAGATTGCTATATCAATGCAAGTCATTGTTGTTGAATTGATTTCTTCTAATCCCTCGCTTTGACCTTTGGATGGAACTTTTTTCCCATTTTGTTTTTAGTTCTGAATCTCTGTCTGAGTGAACAATGCTCTATCCTCAGATTGCCTGAGTGCCATTCTCCCATGCCCTGTGCCCATTATGTTTTGGATCCAGGGATGTGAGCTGACCTATCCCCTTCCTAACTCCCTACCTACACTCACCTTTCCTGGCCCCATCCCCGCCTCTTCGACCTGTTTGTTTCCTCTCCTCTATCCATCTTCTATCCGCCTCCCACTCTCTCCCTATTTATTTCAAAACCCCCTTCCCCTCCCCCTTTTCTGATGAAGGGTCTAGGCCCGAAACGTCAGCCTCTCTGCTCCTATGATGCTGCTTGGCCTGCTGTGTTCATCCAGCCCTGCACCTTGTTGTCTCGGATTCTCCAGCATCTGCAGTTCCTACTATCTCTGATTCGACTCTAGAACGCCCTTTTTGTAATCTCTGCTCCCCTTCCTGTGAACAAACGCTGTGTGGTCCCGCTGCAGTCTAATGCTGTGTGAAGGACTGGGAATCCCACCCAGGCATCATGCTGAAAATGAGAAATATAATCGTTGTATTGAGCCTATGGTGAGGGCAAAGTGTGGAATTGTTTAGCTTTTTATTTACCCCAGAGGAAAAGACAGCACTTTTTAAAAAAAAAATTCACATTGAAGCTTGAGTGCTTCATTCACATGAAATCTGGAGCTCGCTGAACAGTGAGTTGTCGCTCTGCCGTAGGATACCACATTCCTGAGAGCTGGATTTCAGGGAGATGCTGGTGAAGAGAAATCCAGGCGGATTTGATTTAGTTTTGTCTCAGTTCAGGAGTGATGAGCCAGCGCATCTTTCTGACACCGGGGTGGGAGTGCAGCCACGTCAGCCACAGGAAGATAGGAGCTTGAGTATCAGGCTGTTCGGCCCCTTCGAAACTACTCAGCCATTAGTGAGGTCACGGCTGACCCACTGCAGTGATCCCCCCAGAGCCCATCCCTGTAATCGTGGCTCCCTTATCAACACCTCCTGCTCCTGAGTTAAGGCGTCCTGAGTGCAGGTCCCACTCCAAAGACTTGAATGCAGAGCCAGTACTGAAAGAGTGCAGCTCTGCCGAAGAAGTCATCTTTCAGATGAAACTCTATGCCGTGGTCCTTTTGGCTGTTTCAAGAGGATGCAAATGCTCCCAGTCATTATCAGAGGAAGATTGGTGTTGAGGTTCAATTTCGTTTGCTATGTCACTGTCCGAACTGCACAGTCGTATTATTGATTACAGAAGCACACGACCTGTTCCTCACAACTTGTTCAACTTGCAGATACAGAGAGCTCTCATGGTGCAGTGGGTAGTGTCCCTCCTTCTGAACCAGAAGCTCCGGGTTTGAGTGCCACCCCAGGACGTAGTGGCAAAGGAAGATGCATTCGTAATTCAGTCCAACCCGTTGTTTATCGACCTGCAGACGTTTCCAACATGTGCCAACGGCAGGCAGTTAAGCTCAGGAAGGGTTCCTGGTCAGCTATCTGATGGAATGAATGTTGGAGCCTCCGCCATCAGAATGCATAGCTCGAGGAGATCATGTTAAAAAGTGCACGTTGCTCTCAGTGAGCTGTATCCTATAACCATCGCGCATAGTGTGGCAACATCGCTCCCTGGTGGCTGCAGTGAGAGACTGCAATTGCTGACCCTTCAGGTTTTCCTTCTCCCAGCTACAGAGACAACGCAGTGTGGAGCTGGAGGAACACAGCAGGTCAGGCAGCATCAGAGGAGCAGGAAAGTTGGCGTTTCAGGTCGGGACCCAAGTTGGGAGGGGGTTCGGGAGCTGGGAAATAAATAAAGAGGGGAGAGGTGGGGCTGGGGAAGGTAGGTGGGAAGGTGATACATAGGCATCAGGTAGGCAGTGGTGGGGATTGGTCAGTGAGGTGAGAGGGGCGGATAGGTGGGAGAGAAGATGGACAGGTTGTGTCAGGTCAAGGAGGCGGGGATGTGAGGGAGGTTTGGATATAGGACGAGGGGGTGGGGAGATTTTAAAATCGATGAATTCTATGGCCATCAGGCTGTAGGCTCCTGAGGCAGAATATGAGGTGCTGCTCCTTCAGTTTGCAGGTGGTGTCATTGCGGCACTGGAGGAGGCCCAGGATGGAAATATCACCCAGGGAGTGGGAGGGGGAGTTAAAATGGTTGGTGACCAGAAGGTGGTGTCGCTTGTTGCGTACAGAGCACAGATGCTCTACGAAACGTTCTCTGAGTCAGCGCTTGGTTTCACTGATGTAGAGAAAGCCACATCAGGAGCAACGGATACAGTAGACCAGGTTGGAGGACGTACAGGTGAACCCGTGTCGGATATGAAAGATTTGCTTTGGCCCTGGGATGGAGGTGAGGGGGGAAGTGTAGGGGCAGGTGTAGCACTTCTTGCGGTTGCAGGGAAGGCTGCCGGGGGTGGTGGAGTTATTGAGGAGTATGGAGCAGACGAGGGAGTCGCGGAGTGAGCAGTCCCTACAAAAGCACATTGGGGTGGGGAGGGAAATATCTCTTTGGTTGTGGAGTCAGATTGTTGGTGGCAGAAGTGTCAGAGGATGATACGCTGGATGCGGAGGTTAGAGGGGTGGTATGTGAGGACAAAGGGGATTCTGTCTTTATTTTTGTTGGGGGAAGGGTGTTTGAGGGCAGAAGTACGGGAAATGCAAGAGATGCGGTTGAGGGCATTTTTGATCACCAGAGGGGAGAGTTACGGTCCTTGAATCAGGAGGACATCTGGGATGTACGGGAGTGGCACGCTCCATCTTTGGAACAGATGCAGCAGAGACGGAGGAATTGGGATTAAGGGATCACATTCCTGCAGGAGGGTGGGTGAGAGGAGGTGTAGTCAAGGTAGCTGTGGGAGTCGGTGGGCTTGAAATAGATGTCGGTGTTGAGGCGGTTACCAGAGATGGAAACAGAGAGGTCCGGGAAGGAGAGGGAAGTATTGGAGATGGTCCAGTGAATTTGAGGTCGGGGTGAACTATTCAAGCTCCTCATGGGAGCACGAGGTGGTGCTGATACAGTCATCGATGTAGCGGAGGAAGAGGTGGGGAGTAGTGCCAGTGTAACAGCGGAAAAGGTCTACTGTATCTGTTGCTCCCGCAGTGGCCTCCTCTAAATCGGTGAGACCAAGTGCAGACTCAGGGACCGTTTCGAGGCGCATCTGCACTCTGTAGGTGATAATCGACAACACCTTCGGTCACCAACCATTTTAACTCCCCCTCCCACTCCCTGGGTGACATGTCCATCCTCCAGTGCTGCAATGACACCACCCGCAAACTGGAGGAGCAGCACCTCATATTCCGCCTCGGGAGCCTACAGCCCGATGGACTAAACATGGAATTCACCAGTTTTAAAATCTATTCCCCCACCCACCCCAGCCTCATCCCATGACCAACCCTTCCTCTCATCCTGCTTCCTCGACCTGACACTACCTGCCCATCTTCTTCCCCACCTATGTACCCCACCCATCCCACCGACCGTCCCCACTACCCCCTACCTCCATCCAGTTATCACCATCCCACCTACCATCCCCCAGCCCCACCCCTCCTCTCTCTATTTATTTCCCAGCTCCCTTGCCCCTCCCCCATTTCTGAAGAAGGGTCCTGACCTGAAATGTCAACTTTCCTGCTCCTCTGATGCTGCTTTACCTGCTGTGTTCCTCCAGCTCCACACTGTTGTCTCTGACTCCAGCATCTGCAGTTCTTGCTATCTCCTTTGCTTCTCTAACTGTCTTCTTGTCCTCAGGGATTGCTTTAAATTTTCACTCTGTCCATCCTCCCACCACCTCCAAACTGCACACACACTCTCTCTCTCTCTCTCTCAGGGAAATCACGTAATGATTCTAAGTTAATGAAGGGGGTGGATGGGTTTTGATGTTTGCTGTAAGCTGTGGAACAGCAAAGTCAAGGTTGAGTTTTGAAGTATCGTTGTAATGTTGTATGCAGTAGAGATAAAAGAAATCTGACAAAGTACAATCATTTGCTAACAGTGAAAATGGTGATTTGAAGGGATGGGGTTAATGCTTCTCTTCAAAGCCACGCAGAATCCATCTTATTAAACATGAAATTTTCAACGCTCTTTTTACAATACAATTCATCTGTTTTGTGCAGGGGACACCATAGTAACCCCAAGAGTTACTGAAAGCCCTAAACCTATGGTGTCCACCAGTCTGATTCCAAACCTTAAACAGAGTGAGAGAAACAGACCCTTCGGCCCAAATAGTCCAGACTGACCATTATTGCAAACTAAACTAGTCTCACCAGCCTTCGCTTGGCCCATATCCCTCCAAACATTTTTTAATTCATGTACTTATCTCAATGTCTTATAAACGTTGTAAGTGTACCCACATCCACCACTTCCTCAGCAAGTTCATTCCACACACGAACCACTCTCTGTGTAAAAAAATTGCCCCTCATGTCCTTTTTAAATCTGTCTCCTCCAACCTTTAAAATATACCCCACCCCGGTCTTGAAATCCCCCTCCCTAGGGAAAAGACACCTACCATCCACCTTATCTATACCCCTCATGATTTTATAAATGTCTATAAAGTCATCCCTCAGCATCCTATGCTCCCAGCCTCCAGTAATTACAACATTTAAAAGGTATCTGGATGGGTACATGAATAGAAAGTGTTTAGAGGGATATGGGCCAGATGCTGGCAAATGGGACTAGATTTATATAGGATATCTGGTCAGCAAGGTTGGGTTGGACCGAAGGGTCAGTTTCCATGCAGTATATCTCTATGACTGTATCTGACCTCCCTTTATAACTCAAACCAGGGGAGGAGGCTGGAAATTTGGTCACAGGTTAAACTAGAATTTTCTGAACTCTCTGCGTTGTAACACTAGGCCTTGTAGTGGAGGTGGGCACTGCACTTCAACAAGTGGCCAGTGGATGTGATCTATGTTTGGAAGATGTTTTCCACACTGGAATGCCCCTAAGTGGAATCTGTGCTCCCCTCCCCAACAGCGTGTGGTCCTGCTTTGTGAAGGCTTGTGAATTCCACACAGCTATCGCCCAGCGCAGAAAGGGGAAAGAATAATTGAGTCTGTCTGTGGTCAGGGTAAAGCGTGAAGTTGTCTTGCTTTTATTTTCCCCAAAGGAAATATTTTTATTGTCAATAAAGCTTGCCTCTCTGGTTGCTGTCTGCTTTCTTTCCTGATCTGAACAGGAAGGTTTTGGCTCTGGGTTTTAATCGGTTAATGATAAGCCTGTCCTGGTGTCTGCAGGTGAGTGAATGAGCATGTGCGGCTGAGAGTGGGACCTCAAAGGATAAACTGGAGGAGGTGGGCCTAATAGAAGGCGCTTGAAGCAATGATGGGGTGAGACAGGGTGGGAAGAGAGAGAAGGGCCACAGGCCGGAGAATACTGATTCAAGGTGGTTGACAAAATAACCAGGATGACATGAGGGCAAACATTTTCGTGCAGCGAGTGGGTCAGGATCTGGGAGATGTTCCCCGAGGGTGTGGTGGAGACGGTCTTGGCTTTCAAAAGGCAATTGGGCAAGGGCCTGAAATGGGGAAAAAAATAAATAAAGGTTCAGGGCTATGGAGAAAGGGCCAGGATTTGACACGAGCTCAGTTGCCCTTGCGGAGACACAGTACAGGCTTGATGCGCTGAATAGCCTCTGAAATAACTCCACAAAAGCAAGTCATCCTTTATTTACACATGCGTAGTCCATGATATTGACCCAGCCAGCTCAGAGCCAGCTCCGAGAGTGACCAGAACCCCAGACACTCCTGTTTATATCTGTCAGCCAGGGCTCCCTAATTGGACCAGATTAACAGCCCCCAATCAGGGAACTCCTATTCTATGAGGGCCAGCTGGCTGACCTTGTTATAGTCACTACATCCCTCTGCCTCTAAGTCCTGGGACATGGGCCTGTTCTTTCTCCTGTAGGCCCTTCTGGGGTATTTTCACACCAGGTCTGGTTCCTCTGACTCAGCTTCGGATATGGATGGCGTGTATCGGACCGTGGCCCACCTCTCAACCCAGAGAATCTCGGAAGAAATTCAGGAACACTGGTATCAAGGCTGCACCGTCTGCCATGTCCACCTCAGACACCATCTAGTCCTATGGCACTAGATGGAGAGGGAGAATGAAGGGGTTCTGACAGTCTTTCTGGCTGTTCTGAGGGGCCAGGTATGCTTTCCTCCTGTCCCATTTGTGAGTTTGCAGCTTTCATATGGTCTGTGTGCATGTTTAGGACTGCCTCACTACCCAGAACTTTATACGTCGCAGGACCTGACCTTGCATTGACCTTGCCTGTTGCCCATGCAGTATCATTTCTGTGGTTTCAGCATCAAATCTCATTCCCCTGGAGTAAACTGTCTCTCTCTCTCAGTTAGCGGCATCTTGTGTCTGGCATTGGCGTTCCTGATGCCATCTCGCCCAACCCCGCCCCCAACCCAACCCAACCCCACTCAAACCCCACCCTCAACCTCACCCCAAACCCTAACCCAACCCATCCCCAACACCTAACGCTACCCAACCCTAACCCACTCTCAACCCCACCCCCAACCCAACCCAACCCCGACCCCAACTCCACCCTCAATCCCACCCCCAACTCAACCCAACCCAACCCCACCCAAACTCCACCCTCAACCTCACCCCAAACCCAACCCCAATCCCACCCTCAACCCCGCACCCAACCCAACCCCCAACCCAACCCTCAACCTCAACCCTACCCTCAACCCCGCCTCCA